GGGGAAGGGGAGAAGAAGGGGGAAGTCGAGAGGAAGAGGGGGAAGACAGAGGAGGGGAAGGTGGACAAGAAGGGGGAGGGGGAGGCGGAGGATGAGAAGATGGAAAAGAGGAAGTGGGAGGAGGAGGGGGAGAGGGTGAAGGAGAAGCGAAGGAAAGGGAGGAGAAGGTGGAAGAGGATGATGCACGGACCAGCGAAGCATACGTCGAAACCATTGTGTAAGACGAGTTACATGTATAGGTTGTCGACGTTGGCGAGCACGAATGTAACATGTCCATCCTCGGGCCAATGTCGAAGGAGGATGGCCACGGGAAAGCAAACGGCGGACAAGTATGGTTGCCGCAGTTCTGAAATCATGCCAATTGTCACAAATGTGCTCAAACCGCGTAAGCTGGCCGGTGAACACACCTGCAGGCTGATGAGACGGAATGTTTGACATTGCACTAGGATATCATAAAACAGGAAAATCCAATGCAACTGTCTTGTCAAACACACTCAATCGGAGAGATCCGTCTGCTCGTGTCTGCAGTTTCGCACCTAAAAAGGTGCACGAGCCATCAGCCACAGTGGTCTCCTTCCATTCAAGACCATAATGGGTTGGCGATGGTGGCAGACAACCAAAGGTAAGAACATCATCAATGAACCGATAAGTGAAAAATCGGCGAGCTGCAGAGGGATCCACACGCTGCAGGTTGTCCACGTACTGTGCCTCATCCCAATAGAGTGTGAGGTTAGCAATCTCAGGACCAGCGTTTGTACCCATAGGAATACCGACGTCTTGATGACGAACAAGGCCATCCGCTGTATATAAATATGTATTAGTAGCAGTAAACCGAAGATGTTGAAGAATGTCAGACACAGAAAGAGTGTCAGATCCCGTATCGGTAGTCCATTCCCCTGCACGCGGTCCACGGACCACCATACGAAGAGCAACACAGGATGAGTGTGTCCGTGTATGCTGCTGTGCCTGTGCAAGAGCATAGGCATGTGCCTCATCAACAGCCTTAGCAACATTGTCAAGAATTCGTTGATGAGAAAGATTAGTATACATAGTAGTGAAATCGACCGTATGGGGGGCCAGACCTCGGAGAGAAGCTTTATTCTTTTGAGGTCAAGCATGACCTCGTCACTGCTCTGGACAATCCAACATCGTCGAATACCTTCGGATTGGAAGAGTTGATCATCTTTTCCACGGAGAGTATGGATGACGCCTTGAAGTGCCGCACTCAAACGAGCCGAAGTAGGTGTTGTACTAGCAACAGGCTTGTGAGGTGGTCGGTGATGCAAACGCTGGACTCGGTAGGAGGGGCGCAGGTCACTTCGCCGGGCCGTATGAGAAGAAGAAAGATTGTTGCGGGCAGTGATACCAAGAATAGTACGGAGTGTGGCAGGAGACTCAAGGGCCTTAAGAGCGCAATAAAGATAATGCAATGTGTCAGCATGAGGATAATTCCAATGATTGTTCCAAAGTGCATGGCTATTCAGAATGTCAGCCGCTATTTCCGCGGGCCGAGAATCATTGGACTGTTAAGATGGGCAGAAATCTTAAAACGATACCAGTTTTTACAACAAATAGCCAGATTATGTGATGTTTTATCCACAGGAACAATTGCAAAGGATTCTTGGACCTGACGCAGGGCCGTATGTGTGTGTCGCAAAGAGCGAGGCTGTCGCAAAGGTGATGCAGCAGCCATATTGCTCTCACAGTGACGCAAAACTGAAGCACGCCAAAGAGCCAATTGTGAAGCTAGGGTAGCAGCGCAGGATTGTCGTGCTGTTGGACGAAGATACACAGCAATATACTTATCAATACCAACA